TTCATATTCTTCTAAGGTTGGTACCAAGTCAAACTGCGAGAACTCAAAGCAGTGTAGATTGGGACTCCAGAAGTGGACCAATGCTCTAACAAATATCGGATCAATACTGATCTTCAAGAGGTCAAGAATTCTTCCATAAGACTTCTCAAAACTAGCACAGACCTCTGGCGGCATATATGTACACAACTGCCTTAACTTCTCCACACGGCATAAAAGGATCTCCACTTTCTTTAATTGTCTATTACCGGATCCTTCCATTATCTAGCAAAAATGAAAATGCATGATATGAGGATGAATTTTTGTAAATGCATGTATGCAAGTGTTTATCTTTCTAAGTATTATCATGTTTTATTCTTAATATGATGCATGATAGTACTGGGTTTTTCTTGAAAGGAAAGCTTATCTATATGAATGTTTATGAATTTTAATGAAGAGAGTCCTATTTTCTTCTCTTTTTATTTTTATGAGCAACGAATGGTATGAATTATAGGACTTTTGTTAAAAAACTTTTATTTTTGTAACAGAGATATTTTCATAGCTTTGATTTGTTTTTATATTTTTTTTTATGACCCTTTATCTCTTCTGTCGGTCAACGTGGCTACTTAGCTTACAAAGAACCTGAAACCAGGCTAGCTTAACTGAAGACTGTCCGAGATAAAGGTCTTTTATCTTATCACTTTTTTGTGATTTTTAGGGTTTTTCATTTGTTTTGTTTGTTGTATGATTACCCTATGCTAATGCATCAATACAAATGCAGCAAACGTATGCACACACAATTCATACATCCACGAGCAGAGCCACGCTTATTTAATCACGAGGTAGGGTTTTCCTGCAGAAACGTGCTTGGTTTAGGCGGTTCTAACTATTCTCACCAAGGCCAAAGGTCCCCAAGGTGCCCCCATTAGAGGGACCTCTCAATCTCTCATTCCTCGGGTCATGCACGGAACTCTGTGTCGACATCCTTAGACCAAAAGAAGAGAGTTATCACCTTGAGTTGGTGGTTTCCGACAACGGTTGTAGCCCCGTGTGCCAACAAGCCGGTCGTATCTGCCATCCACTCCCTATAAGTATTCACTCTTGCCCCCGGGTATAGAGGGACTGTTGTGTGCAAGGGTTTTGTGTGCAATTTATATTTCAAACAATTTGCAGAAGTAATCATACAGCAGTTATTAAAGCCATACAATAAAAATACAGAAAAGGGTAAAGGCATAATTTCAAATCTTTACTTAGTTTGAATTTATCCGTCACTAAATGGGATCAACTCTCTAGCTTCCCCAGTGGAGTCGCCATCTATCGCCGCCGTCCGTTTCGACGTCCTGGGACGTCTCGAACGTTAATGCGAGCGGTCGCGAAAAGATGGTTGAGACTCGCGTTTTTTGTTAAAAATATGTTCATTGCTTCCGAGGCGTTCAACGCTGAACTATCCTCTAATAGAAGCAAGGTTTTCGAAAAGGGTTCTTTTGGAGTCGCCACCAATGTTTTGACCATAAACATTGGAAAAGGAGAAAAAGGCATTGATTTTAATAAAAACCAAACTTGGCCATTATAACCAGAGTCGGGTAAGGGAGTTAGTTACGTGTGGGGAAGGTATTAGCACCCCACAACGCCCCTTCCGGGTTCCCTATGACGGATTAATTCATTTAAGTAAAGATTACAAGAAATTACGCTATTACCCTATTTTATTCGTACAGTATTTAAATATGGTTATCTACATGATTTTATCTACATTGCATACAGAAAGCAGTAAATAAAGCAATAAAAGGGAAGAGATTTGAGAAGAACCTCCGAAGCAAGCTTTATATTATAAGTCTTTTAATACAGAGGACGCTTTGCGGCAATCCTTCACTCTACAACGACTCTCCTCTCGAATAAACTCGACTCGACTAAAATTTTCTATAAGAATCGAATGCCGGAATACAAATTCCTTAACTGATTGTTACCTATTAAAGGCAATCAGAGAGATCATTCGAAGGAGGGAGAGAAGAAGACAAGTCTTGGAGTTGTCTGGGGTGTGGAGAATGACCTAAGGGCCTCCTATTTATAGCCTTTTTTCGCCTGGAACTTTGGGATGGCCGTCTGGGTTGGGACGGGCGTCCCAACTGCAAAATTTGCACTGAGTCAGGTTGGGACGGCCAGTTGTGTTTGGGACGGTCGTCCCAGTTGAATTTTTTGTTCTTGACTCCACCCCTGGAATGTGTGGGACGGCCAGTGTCATTTGGGACGGCCTTCTCGACTGTCCTAGGTTGTTTGGGACGGTCGTCCCAACTTTGGGACGACTGTCTCGACCTGTTTTCAGCAGCTCTTGTGTTCTGGGACCCCTGGGAAGCTTTCTTTGCTATTTTCGGACGTAGAGTGATGCTGATATATGTCCGATGAAGCTTTATCTTTCTGTAGGAAGTCTTCTTGATCCTTGTTGAGATGTCGGGCGAGCTTTATCTTTGTGTAGGAAGTCTCCTTAGTCTTTATTGTATGGATGGGTGAACTCCGTCTTGTTGCGGGAGGTCTTTCTCAGTTTTTGATAGGAAGCCGGGTGAACTTTATTTTCGTGTGAAGTTTCCCTAGCTTTTATTTTGAGAGGCCGGGCAAAATTAGGGGTCTACAATGGTTATTTAGAAACAAACTTGATGAAGATGGAAATATAACAAAGAACAAAGCCAGACTTTTCGCCAAAGGTTACTGTCAAGAGGAAGGTATTGATTATGATGAAACTTATGCTCTTGTTGCCAGGTTAGAGGCTATACGCCTACTTCTTGCTTATACCTCATTGATGAAATTTAAATTATATCAAATGGATGTTAAAAGTGCTTTCTTAAATGGGTTTATCAAAGAGGAATTATATGTGGAACAACCCCCTGGATTTGAAGATTTTAAATGTCCCAACCATATTTTTAAATTGAAGATGTTAGAAAAGTAGGCTGAGATCAAGAGGGGGGGTGAATTGATCTTTGAAAGATTTTGGCAAATTACAGATTATCTATTCTAAAGATTAAGAGTTCTGACCAATTCTTGAATCAAACAAAACAATCAATCAAAATAAAGGCAACAACAGAATTAAAGAGAGAAAGGTTTAGAAAGATACAACCTAGATTTATACTGGTTCACCCAATCCCAGGGCTATGTCCAGTTTCCATCCAAATTCCAGCTAAGTTCCACTAGATTGAATGTTTTACAGATTACAGTTCCAATCACACACCCAATCTACCACAAGAACTAAAATTTCAGTCCTTGCACCTAAACCTTCACCAAGAACCAACTTCCAGTTCTTGAACAACCCTGCAGCCAAATTCCAGCCACAGAAACCAGTGCCCACACTTCCAGACTCGCACAATATAGTAAAGAAAAGTAAGGAAACAAAGAGAAGAAACTAGACTCAAACCCGGTTTATGTAGCTCTGCAGAATGAGTTTCTTCACAAAAAGAATGCAAAATTTGTTTCAAGAAAGATCTTCAAAAAACTTCACAAAACTTGTGTGATTCTTTCTTGAAAGTAGCACTTATAATTTCTTGATTGATTGCTCAAAGATGTGTTTTAAAATACTCAAGCAATCTTGTTTATATAGAAGATTTTTCAAACTGCTAGTTTAATTAATCTGTTAAAACATTTTTTTAATTTGTTAAAAGTCTTGAATTAATCTGTTAAAACTTCTTTTAATCTGTTAAAATGTTCTTGATCATTTTTAAGATTTGTTTTAACTGATACGACAACGTTTATATCGATTAAAACACTTTGTAAAAAATCCTTTAAATTGTTTTAATCGATTATTTCGCCTTTTAATCCATTAAAATACTGCAAAATGTTTTCATAAAACTTTCTAAGTGATTTTAACTGATAACAATATGTTTTAATCGATTAAAACACTTTGGAAAAAATCTCTTAGTTGTTTTAATTGATTATTTCGTATTTTAATCGATTAGAATTCTGCCAAAAAGTTTCATAAAACTTTCTAAGTCATTTTAACTGATAACATACTTCTTTTAATTGATTAAAACACTCTGGAAAAAATCTTTTAGTTGTTTCAATCGATTAATTCGCATTTGCATTGATTAAAATACTTGATAGAACATCTTTCAAAACACTTCGAGTTATTTTAATCGATTATTTCAAGTTTGTATCGATTAAAATTCTGCCAGAACACTTTTCAAAACATCTTAAGTCATTTTAATCGATTATTTCGATTCTACATTAGTTAAAATACTGGCAGAAGGTTTCCAAAAACTCTTTTAATGAAAACAATCGATTGATTCGAAGATATATCAATTAAAATAGTTCCAGTGTATGTTTTAAAAGGTTTTAATCGATTATTTCAAAAATCTATCAGTTAAAAACCTGTTATGAAAGTGTTAAGAATATTTTAACTGATAAAACTCATATAATATCAGTTAAAACATTTTACTTAAAAGCCATTTAACAAATTACTTTGTTTTTAACAGTTTAAACACGTTTTAGAGACATTTGCAAAATCTTTTAAATGAAGAAACCTCATGCAGCAGAGAGATAAGAATGATTATATGTAAGTATAGATGCAGACTCACTAACCACTCTACCCTTTTATCCAAGTAACCTTTGACTACACCAGAATAGCCTTTGACATCATTTTGACTTCATCAAATCAACAAGATCTTTGTTTAATCAAATGATTCAATAAGATCTTCATCACTTTCAGAAGAAACACTACAAGAAAATTACCAATTACCTGCTGATATTTACCTACGGATCCATATCTGTAGATAAATTGTAAATTACCTACAGATTTTATCTACGGATTTTTATCCATATATAAAATTGTACGTTACAGTAGTCCGTAGGTATCATCTGTATGTAATGTTGGAACGTTTAGGCGGGAATGTTCGAAGGATGAAATCCGTAGGTAATGACAATAAAATCCGTATGTAATGAAGTCATACTTTACATACGGATTTTACATACGAATTTTATTAGAAAATATTAAAAAATAAAATTAGTAAGTAATTAGTAGTAAAAACATAAAGAAATTTTTTTTTTCAGCCAGACCTCCACTTTCCAGCCCTAGCTCCCTTTGCCTTGCTCTTCTTTCTTGCAGCTTCTTCCCCGCGGAGCAGCTCCACTCTCCCTGCACCTTCACTTTCCCTTTTCCCTCATTCTCTCTTCCCTCTACCTCACTCTTTTCTCGGTTCCTCTCAACAACTCAGCCACCCGCACCCCTCTTTCCCGAGCACCCCTGACTGAGCTCCATTTTTAATATTCCTCAACCCTTCACTTGAACTCCACAGCCCTAGCTCGCGCAAACACGTTTTCCCTCACCTCCTCTGATGCCTCTGCATCCTAGCAAAGCCCTAGACGTTATCACCCCAACCCAATCGTGGAGCCCTAACTGTGACTCGCGCCCCCCTAGCCATTGTAGGTCAACTTGGAGATTGGTGGTTAGAAGCAAGGGTCGTAGGCCTAAGTTTTCCTTTCTCTTTTTGATTTTTTGTTTATTGTTCTTGATTTGAGTTGTCTGAAATGTTTCATTTGGTTTTCTTGATTTATGATCGGTTCTTGGATATAAATTGAGTTTTTACGGGATCAGTGGATTATCAGGTTTGGGGTTGACACTGTAATGCATTATTGCTTGTGTGGTTGGATGCTTTCTGACATTCGATCAATGACAATTTTAAATGTTGTTTTTCATATGTTGTTGTAGTTGATTATGGCTCAGCTGGTTAGGATATTCAATTTTATTTCTTAAATGTGATTATTTGAATGTGACAGGCAAATAAAACTTTAATTCATCCCTGCTTTTACCTTCTTGCAATATACTTTGATTCTTATTAAAGTTATTTGACTTATATATCTTTATATTGTAACCCTGTCTGGTATGATGTTTAATGTGTAATTATTTCAATGGAGTAGAAGACTTTTCTCAATTCCTTTCAAGGTTACTCTGCCGTGAGGAGCAAGGCAATGCATTTTTTGCTTTAAAGTTGTTGTTAAGTTGAATTCTAAATTTATTTGGTAGTATTATGGGTTTTGCCAAAATGTATCAGTTTCTTGATTCCCTATGTGAACCTTGTTATATTTCTCAGACCTAGCGAACTAGGTATCACTCGTAGTCACCTCTGAAGACCATGGCTTTGAAAATATACTTTTTATCTTAATACTCCTTAAGATTTTACCATCAATCTACTAGATCATAGGAAAACGGTTTCTGTCATGTTCAGAATAAATCTTGATAGTTTTTATGGTATGGGATGTGATGTGATATGAACACTAAGGAGGTATGTTTCCTTCATTTTACTTTTTCCTGTTTGTTTCTTTTCTTTATTCACCAAATAAGTTAGTATGCCATCAATTTCATGAGTATGGAAACCTATAAAATCTTTTAAATCAATGATTAGGTTTAAATACATTTTTCATCCCAATAGTTGCTTCAGTCAAGGAGCAAGACAATGCGTTTTTGCTTTAAAGTTGTTGTTAAGTTGAATTCTAAATTTATTTGGTAGTATTCTAGGTTCTGCCAAAATGTATCAGCTTCTTGATTCCCTATGTGAACCTTGTTATATTTCTCAGACCTAGCGACCTAGGTATCACTTGTAGTCACCTCTCAAGACCATGGCTTTGAAAATATCCTTTTTATCTTAATACTCCTTAAGATTTTACCATAAATCTACTAGATCATAGGAAAACTGTTTCTGTCATGTTCAGAAGAAATGTTGATAATTTTTATGGTATGGGATCTGATGTGATATGAACACTAAGGAGGTATGTTTCCTTCATTTTCCTTTTTCCTATTTGTTTCCTTTCTTTCTTCACCAAATAAGTTAGGATGTCATCAATTTCATGAGTATGGCAACCTATAAAATCTCTTAAATCAATGAATAGGTTTAAATACATTTTTCATCCCAATAGTTGCTTCAGTCAAGGAGCAAGGCAATGTGTTTTTGCTTTAAAGTTGCTGTTAAGTTGTATTCTAAATTTATTTTGTAGTATTCTAGGTTTTGCCAAAATGTATTAGATTCTTGATTCCCTATGTGAACCTCGTTATATTTCTCAGACCTAGCGACCTAGGTATCACTCGTAGTCACCTCTCAAGACCATGGCTTTGAAAGTATACTTTGTATCTTAATACTCCTTAAGATTTTACCATCAATATACTAGATCATAGGAAAACTGTTTCTGTCATGTTCAAAAGAAATGTTGATAATTTTTATGGGATGTAATGTGATGTGATATGAACACTAAGGAGGTATGTTTCCTTCATTTTACTTTTTCCTGTTTGTTTCTTTTCTTTCTTCACCAAATAAGTTAGGATGCCATCAATTTCATGAGTATGACAACCTATAAAATCTCTTAAATCAATGAATAGGTTTAAATACATTTTTCATTCCAATAATTGCTTCAATCAAGGACTAAAAACTAAACTTTTAGACCATGGGGATCTAAATTTAAACTGAGGTGCTAAAAATGTATTTATATCAATTGTGTTGGTTATAGCAAGGTGTTTATAATTCTCCTTTTGTCTCTATTTCTTGTGGCCTCCTTATGCATTCAGTTTTCTTCTAGCAACAAGTTTAGGGAAATTCTTTTAGTATCCTATTTGTGTTACAATGCAAAAAAAAAAAAAAAAAAAAAAATTGGAGTAGGGGTAAAGTGTGTAACAATCACTCTTTAGATCTAAAGTATATATTTTTTATTACTAATTCTATTAATATATGCAACTGTAATCTTATATTATCAGAATTCTATATGTAGTAATAGTTTTTTAACCTAATATAACTGTGTCAGAAAGAATCAGAATTAAACTGTGACCCGCTTTATCACTAGTTGTTCCCCAATATAAGAATTTCAATCACAACTGCTTTTCTATCTTTTATGTCTTTTCTTTTGAACTTGTCTACTTTGTTGAAAATTTAGTTCTAAGATTCCATGGTTCTTTGACCAGTCATATATTGATTTGAATATTGTCCTTTTGGGTTCCTTTCTGTCTCTTTTTTCTTTTCTTATTTCCTCTTTTTTTTTCTACAGATTTTATGAGTTTTTCCTTAAACGTGAAAAGTTGAGAGAGTTCTGAATTAGAGACCAATAAACTGGTGCCACCTTCATCTTGTGCTGGTATTATTTAACATTCAACATATTTAACATTCTCAAACTTTTATTTTTGTTGACTATTGACCTTGGTCAAATGGAAATGTTATAGGACCACTGTCATTTCTATCTAGCGTTATTTGTGGTATTTTATACTATGATTTAATGTTTTGCAAACAAACTTTGTCCTAATAATAATAATCTTGTTGGTTTTATTTGTTCGGAACTTTTAATGTTTCATATAGGGGATTGTGCACAAATGTTTGAAAGTGATAGGGTTTAGGTGATGTTTGAAAGTGAAATGTTTTTCTTGTTGAAGTTTTGTTTTTCCTTTTTTGAAAGTGAACTATCTTCTATCACCAGGGTAAAGTTCTGTTTTTCCTTTTATTTCCTTGTTTTTCCTTTGAAATATACCTAAAACAACTGTCAAATAGATACATGACAGTTTTAATCGTATGGACCATTATTCCACGCACGAAATGGCACGAAAATATACCATTATGATAGAACACTAAGTCTTGCATCTTCGTATATATAGAAGATGAAGTCATTCATGTTAGTTAATCCCCATTAGTTATTTCCTATTAATACCTTTTTTTTTTGGAAGATTAAATATCAAAACTTATTGGGTAACAAGGAAAGATATTCCCCAATATTGAAACTTATCATCACAATTGGCTAATTAGTGGTCATATTTTGTATATACAGAACATAGACCAGTTCCCATCAAATCGTGCATGGATGTATGATAAGTGTCATAGAGGAAGAGGTTCTTTGAAAGAGTCATTTATAATGGGGGTGGAAGACTTTGTAAACAAAGTTTTGCAACAAGATTCTTATCACAATGATGGGGGAATTCAATGTCCATGTAATAAGTGCGACTGTACGAGGATTTTGGAGGAAAGACTTGTGAAGGTTCACCTCTACAAACATGGTTTCAAGCCTAATTATTGGATTTGGACTGATCATGGTGAAGAGATGACACAAGGTGATTGTGATAATGATGATAATAGCATGGGTCTAGGGAGTCATGGTGTACACAATCAGTCACAACATGACCAATTTGTGTCGATGCAAGAGATGGTTTATGATGCTTTTAGGCAACAAGAGTCATTCCAACCACCAAATTCAAATAACATGGAAGAGGATCCGAACGAAGATACCCAAAGATTTTATAACCTATTGTTGGATGCAAATACACCGTTGTATGAAGGGGCATCAGAGTCCAAACTATCAATGTGTGTCAGGCTATTAGCTTGTAAGTCCAATTGGAATGTTTCTAACCAATGCTTGGAATTTATATTTAAAATGCTTTTGGACGCAAAACCCATAAAAACGGGATTGCGTAAGAGTTATTATAATGCAAAAAGGTTAGTGTCCAAGTTGGGATTAGAAACTAAGAGGATTGATTGTTGTGTTGATGGTTGCATGCTCTTCTATGATAATGAATATGGCAAGTGTCGCCGCCTCCCCGAAAACGGGGGCGCGGTCGGAGCGACGCGATGGTTATTTTGACCCTCTTTGATTTTCGCGTTTTTATGGGTAGTTACAACGCCTTTAGGTTGTCCGATAACCGGGCTTACCTAAGGGCGAGGTTTTCGAAAAGTGTCTTTGGGTTGTCCGATAACCGGGCTAACCCAAGGACTTATTTATTTTGGGTTCTATGGAGTCGCCACCGATGTTTTTACCGGAAACATCGGAAAAGGGGTTTTAAAAGGCGTTGGTTTTCGAAAACCAACTTCGGTCATTAGAACCAGAGTTGGGTAAGGGAGTTGGTTACGTGTAAAGGGAGTATTATTCCCTTTACGACGCCCCTTTCGGGTTCCCTATGATAGGCCGACTTATTTTATTGATAAACTAGAAAAATACACTTTCGCCCTTTTTATTCTGCGAAATTTAAAAGTATGACTACATGGCCCTAATATCTATTGCATAATTCAAGATAAAAACGGTAAAGGTGAAGGGAGAGAATTTGAACCTCCGAAGCACGCTTTTTATATTAATTCTCTAAAAAAATAGGGTGCTTTATGGCAGCCCTTCACTCTACAAGACGTCGGAAAACCTCTCGAACGACGAAAATCACTCTTCAAAGCACTCAAAAGCTCCAGAAATGCGTCGGAGGGATTCTAGAGAGAAGTTTTTAGAGAGAAGGGAGAGCTATGCAGCTGTGGTGTGTGGAAATGAGGGGGGGAGAGCCCCTATTTATAGGTTTTCGCGCTGTCAGGTGGCGAGACCGTCGGTCTCGTCTGATAGGGTCGAGACCGTCGTCTCGTCCAACGAGACCGCCGTCTCGACCTGTCAAAATGGCGAGACCGCCGTCTGGGTGAACGAG